GAGCCTCTGTACCTAGCCTCAGCGTATACTAAATGTAGTAACGTGCCCAATGTCATTAGGCACAAAAGCAAGGTTTTTTTCTGATCTCTTTCATTTGACCAACTCTATAGTGCACTTTTTGCCCCAAAGTTTGTCCAACATCTCTCCAAACCAGAGGCATAACAAGGCAGCTGGGCACCCAGGGAAGTGGGACTCAGGGGAGCAGCAGTGACTTCTGGCTGCTGTTGTGCTGCCATCGTGATCACACTGCTGTAGTGGCAGATGCTAGTTTTGCTCCTCTATTTCCTGCTTCAGTTCAGCACCCAGGCTTGCCATCTTGATTGCCCCACCTAGTAACACTACTGTTCTCAAGTAAATAGTGGGTCCAATAAAAATGGCCTCATAAGACCCTTGCTTCTCACATATTTCTTTGACCGTAACAGCTACAGAACCCCAACCCTATTAGGCATAGGAAACATTGCAGCTCTGTTTTTCAGGTTACACCAGAACTAGAAAACATTGTAAAGCAAATTTTCCTCGTATTTTAAACATTAGATTTTTGTGGGTGTATGAAGTTCCTTAAAACTACTTGTTTGGCCAAGGCAAACGTGTTATGTTCGCATCCTGAACTTTTTTTGTTCCCATAATTTTATATTTATTACCGGGGGATTAAAAACAACACTGTAGGTACATTTGTGGATGTTATAAACCACCTGAATACAAGGAGGAACACTGACAAACTTAACTAGAGTGGCATGAATAGCACTGCTCTAATAAGATCTTTAAAGGAAAGAAAGGCAGTGATGCCAATAAAGTGCTCATGATAATATCTAATTGAAAAGGGTTTGTGGATTGAAGTTAAGGAGAGGACTGGCTTAAGTGATTCACTCTGAATTTCTAAACACAAAGGGTGCAGCAAAAAGCAATTACAGTAATATCAACTCAACAAGAGAGAAAAGCAAAAAGAGTGCATTTGAAAGCAAGATTTCAGGCCTCATTCTGCTCGCTCATCTCATCGGGGCAAATAGGGAATTTAACTTCGGTAGGCAAGACTGATTCGGGTCGTTTGAGAATATTATTTGCTTTTCCTTCCTACGGGGTCAAGCAAGGTCTTCTCTTGTCCAGAAATTGTTCTTTAATATTCTTCTAAATTAGTGGGATGTTCAGACATCTAAACAAGGGACAAAAGCATCCATTCCATTTATCCATAGCCATGTGACCAAGCCATCACCTTTCATAAGCATCTATCACTACTGATCTGGCCACTGTGCCCCAGCTCAACAGGTGGACTATATGATGTCAGTGCCCTTTCCAGCCATACATTTTTCTGATAATAGATACATTTATTTCAAAACCCATTGAAATTACCGAGGGGAAAAAAACCCCAACAAAATGATTTGGCTTTAGATCAGCCGATAAGAGGTCCTGAAAGCCGTAGGACCAGTTACTCATTAAATGCTATGGAAGGCCAATTCCTAGGAAAAAACCGAATTTGAGCTTTGGCATCACAATTCATTTCAAGCCTACAGCATCTTTACTATTTCAGTCTCACAACTCCCAAGTAAATATTTGTGATGGTGGTTTTATGATGTAAATGAGAGCTTAAAGAAATAGTGCTAGTCTTCACTCTCTTACTGTCAAAAAATTTTCCCTCATCTAGGAGAAATGCCCATTGGTTGCATTCTAAAATATCACCAAAAGGTATTGGAGTGCTATTTCAAGAGACTTTTCACAACAGTGCTATTTGGCTCATGGAAGCATTTCATGTAGTGCAAAAATGTATTACCAGGGATATTTTGTTATGGGACATCTCTTTGGGAATATTCTCTCTCATTACTATCCACCAGAGCTGGCAAAATTTGTTTGTGCGAGTTTTCTAGCTTAATTCTAAAGACCCCTGAGACTCAAGTAATTCAGATAATCTGTAGAAAAACAAGCAAATTTGGGGGCAATTCCCTGAATTACTAAAACATCCTGAGACTTAGCCATCACAAATGTATTTATGGAAAAGTTATAATACTCTTTCATTTTATAGCCTGATGTTCAGATTAGGCTATTAGGCAGGGCCTTGCTTCTTCTTACTTATTAGGGTTACCTGGCATAAAACTAGTGATTTTGGTTTAATACTGAATTTAGCAAGTATGAGTGAATGAAAAGTCAGGCTCTGGTATTTCATAAAATAAATCTCAGTGGTATGACTTGCAAGAACTGTGCCAGACAGGTCAAGCTGTTTTGCATTGCTTATGTGGTACATAGTAGCCTAATCTTAACTGTTCAACATTTGACAGCTATTTTGTATTATCAGAACAGTGCAAAACATTAGAGACTTGCCAGTGAATTTGATTTTCATTGCTGCTATTGAACAGAGTCAGAGTCAATGGAACAGGACTGACAGAACCAGAGGTGTGATATATTAACTTAGCAATGAGCTATCAGATATGGACAATCAATGAGAAGTTCTTCGGAAAAAGAAATCTTTAGGCACATAATTGCATGCTTAATCTGGGAACACTTACCTCAGTTGCATATGCCAGATGGGTAATTATGCACCCAAATACCTACATATGATGCTCTTTTGCACAATTACTTGCATAATCACAGTCATTGCACACCTAAAATATTTGAGAATCTGGCAATGGAAGTCTCCCTGGATAATAGAAATTAACTCACTTAAAATTACTTCACTCTAAAATAATGCCACATGTCACGGCACTGGGCTATGCTAATTATCAGTTGTATTCCTTCCTGTTACATTGGATGGAGCAGGAAAGCAAAGACAACCTTTGCTGGATTCCTGCCCCCACCCTGGCCAGGTAATTGTTGTGGGTGTGCAAGAACCTTCCAACTGCTGCAAGATACTTTGCCATGCATCTCACTTAACTGTTATGATTAAATTAAGAATCTTCCACCACTGGTTTGTGTGTAATTTAGATATGGCTCAGGGGGCTTTCTTTAAGATAAATTGCTTCACATTTATGCCTATTAGGAAGCTGACCACAAACAAATACAAGGACCATCGTCTGCTTAAAGCAATGAAAGAAGACTGATCGCTTAATTAGTTTTAAATAAAAACTATGACATGCCCAATGGTCAGGCTTGCTAGAAAGATGCTGTCATCTCTTTTTACACCAAATACAGCATTTAAGGTGCACAGTGTCACAAAAGCTACTTACAAAATCGTGTTTTAATTCTGACCATAAATAAAATTCAAGTTACTCAGATCTCCTAATTCTGCTGAGAGCTACTCATCCAAAGTTCATACACCTTTGATTCTGGGGGTGGCTAATCCCTGGAATGATATGCCAGGCTGGACTGCTTTATTGTAGGCATAGCTACCGAAGGATCAAGCCATAACCCCAGCCATCACTTCTGGTCAAAACACAGGGGGGTAACATTTGAGCCTTGGAAGGTCAAATTTCCTGGCTTTCTGGCTACTTTGAGCTTTGACTGGGGTTCATGACCTCAGCCCCTATTTAATGAGGCTGAAAATAAATATTTCTCATTTTTAAATTTTCCACTGATAATGATTGGATTTATAAATAAATAAATAATAAAGCAAGCAAAGTTTCACTGGCTTGGCATCCTGTTTCCTTCTTCCCTTTGCACTAGACTAGCTGAAGAAACACATTAGCGTGTTTAAACATTGCCCTTCCCAAATGAGAGGTAAGAAAAGTGCATAAAACCAGATATGAGATGATAATACCATGAGACTGGTCAGTGACTTGACTGGCAATGGTTTATCTTTTGTAAGACAATGTTGGCGAATAAAAATATTCCTATTCAAGTTTAAGGAGCAATGAAACAGTTAAATAGAGGGTTAAATCTTACCCACAGCCCCTTAAAGATTTGAAAATATCCAGATCCCCACCTCTGCTGGCTTCCTGATGGAATCTGATGTGAAAATGCCATAAAACTTGTCAAGAGTCATCAACCCAGTTTTACAAACAAGTGGCATCCAGGTGAAAGTCTTAACTTTTGAAGGCTAGCCCAAACTGGACTCTAGTTTCAGCTGTGCTGGAGGACTCACACCACTTTCACTAACAGGAGGGCCCTAATTCTTTTTATTTTATGCTGTATTATAATATCTCTTGAAAGACATAGAAATGCAACCTCTGCTAGGTGCTAACAAGTGATGCATGAATGCTGTAAAGCTAGCATTGGTAAAGCCTGATAACATTGCACAGTCCTTTGTAATGTGCGCATAAGAAACAGAGACAGATTTTCTGAGGTACTTAGGCACCTAACAATTCACACAGTGGGATTTCCAGAAGTTTTTAGGTACCAAAAAACTTAAGAGACCAGGTCAATGGTTCCTATAGATAGAAATAGTCTATGACAATATGCAGGTCAGCATAGGCTCCGACAAATGCAAGTGCTCTCCTATTGCAAATCTCCTCCGTTCCCAGAAATAAGTCAGCTTCCATGCACTTCTCACAGTAAAATGAGATACACAGCACTTTTAAGTGTTCAATGCACTCGCTGTCTGTGCTCAGTGTTCATTGAATATGTTTCTAGAGCTCAGCCAGTCATGAATAATGATGAGCAACCCTGGCCTTTGACTTGAGTTAGCACAGCAGTGTTTGACCAGTCCAGTTACAGGTCCTGCCATCCCTTCAGTTTATCTTCTACCGAGTGTTGAAAGAGCCCACTCTGAGGTTTCCATTGTATTGCTTCTCTTTCATATCCAGGTGAGCACTAGATCCTCATTATGAGATACATGCACATTAACTCTAAACTTAACGTTTGTTTGGTAAATCTGCTGATATGGTAACACACCAATTTTTTTTTTTTTTTTTTTTTTTTTTTTTTTTT